CTGCTGACAGGTACCTTGGGATTTTCCTTCCCTAGCAGATGTTTGTGGAGCTTGCGAACATACTACCTTATATGAGTTACCTGAAGTGATACGTTCCTGAAAGTGTAAGGATTAAAGGAGCATTTTGCTTTCCAGAGAAGTGAGTTTAGTCACCAAAGCACTAACATACAATACTACAAAGTGCCTCTGGAAACAATGGGAAAATAGTTGTTTTGTCACAGGGAAATTTGTGAAAGAAACTGGGAATGATTATTTGACATTTGTTGGGGGGAGGAGGGGGAGATACTAATCAACTGTTTTCCCCCCAGCTTTTGGCCATCACAATTTGTTTTGTTTTCAGCTGTTAACAACAATTTTAGGGTGATTGGGCAAATGTGGATTTTGCCAACTTTTTAAACGGGGAAGTGACATTTAGGTTTTTTGAAAGAAAATAACAAAAATCTAGTAAAAAAAACCAGGTTTGTTCTATTGACATTTGTCTTTGTGCGTGTGGGAGAAAGGGGAGGATGGGGAAAAGACGACATACTATCTCACTTCTCTTACAGCTCTTCCTCGCCTTGTAAGACCTAACATTGTCTTCACAACTGTTGTGAATGAAAGTCATAGCAAAATGCTCAGGAACGAGAGTAAGGAGGTGGTCTGTCCTGCTACAGACTTTTCTTTATAGATCCTCTCTTTTCTAGTTAGTGCTCGTAGAAAATGACAAAAATGAAAAAGAACACACTGGATAAAAAAAAAACAACACAGCATAGGGGCCAATCTCCTGCCAATCAGATGAGGTGGAAAAGAAAACGTTGTGAATACAGCAAGACTTTGGTTTTGTTAGGAATTATTTGCTTCCAGCATTGGAACTTTCAGGATCGCCACCTTGAGCCAACTGTCTGCAGCAGGAGAGAAGAGATGAATTCTCTACTCATTGACTTCTCAGAACAGGATTTATATGAGCTGTGACAAAGATAAATACAAGTATATCGCTATTAAAATAATTTATTTTGTAAGAAACTAAGACTATCACTACTGGTAAGAAGTTCATATGAATGGCTTTTATGAGGGGGTAAAATGAGGGGTTCAAAAGCACTGTGAAAGTTAGAATTTTACCCGCGTATTTACTAGGACAAGGAATTAGGTAGGAAAGAATGAAGACATACGGGTGAGGATTTCTGTGATGCTCAGGGAGAATTAAGAAAGGGAAAAAAACCATGATTTCAGCTTTGCATTTGAAACAGCACATTTGAAACAGCACATTTAAAACCTTTTTTTCCAGACTGTTCATGAGGAAGAACATGAACTACATTGGCACCGAGTAGCAATAACAATAGAAAAAAAAATCAGAAAAGCAAACCAAGGAGGTAAAGAAATTGCGTCCAGGCCAGTCATGGAGTTTCTTTGATTTATCCGGGGCAGGGAGAAGGGGGGAACAGGCTTGAACCCGTCCCACTTGTTTTTCCACAGATTTTAAGTGCAGTCACCTGAACTGTGCACGGTAAGTAAAAGCACCTGTCAATTTATACCACGTCCTCATTACAGGGACGCTTAAGGCATACTGAATTTTTCAGCTGCTTCACATTAAATTAATCAGTGAAACAAAAACTAAATACAAATAAATTATCAATAAAATCTGCATATTATTTTCCACGCCTCTTTCGGCTGTAGAATTAACGTTAGCCACTTTCTGTACGAAATTAGACCTGGTGTACCTTTGCAGAGTGCCGAGTGCACAATTCTCTGATTCTCACTGCTTTAACATAATATAAATATCAAACAATGACGGAAAAGAGACAAATGACAGATTCAAAAAATATCTATCTACTAATAAATTGTATGCATTCTGAAGATGAGGGGGAAAAAGAAGACAAACATTTCCAGGAACATGAAACAGTTTGGTAGCTGTAATGCATTAGCATAACAAAGTAGTTGACCTCAAATCCAGATTTTTCTCGTTTGAAAACTTGTTGTTGAATTCATGTGTGCTAAATACAGTTAGCAAGCAATAACCTCTAATGCTGCACACTTCATCTCCCTTTTGAAGGGTCATTATACACGTTTCACAGAGCTTCTAAGTAAGTTTTTCATTTGTGTAAAATGAGTAAGACAAAAATACGAAGCTATGATATATTACACTGCTTCTTTTCAGGATGCTGTTAGAAGTGAGTCATTCAACGCTTATCAAAAGGTGATCTATTTAAATTATAATAAGCAGATATAGACACTTGATATTCACCTTAGCAGGGTTTATTGACCTGGTAAGTAGAAAGTAACGTTCATCTAGCAGGAAGTTGGTGTGTGCATGCTTACGCAGGCTCCAAACGTTTCCAGTTAGTATCTAGCAATCTTCCTATTTTAGCCTCACTTTCAGAACAGCAAGTTTGTTCTTTGAAAAAGAATAGTCAGAAAGACAGAAATTTTTTTCTAAATGGTTGCAGCAAACCAGGGTATTTTCATTTATGTACTCAGTCTGACTGGCTAAGGTTATCTCAGATCCCAGTAACAGACTTTATAGGAAAAAACTACTGCTTGTGTAACGCTGCTCAAGCAATCACCAGACAACATTCCTCTTGTACGAAAATAATATACCTTTAATTTATTTACAAGACCGACAAACTGAATGAAGTGGCTGTACTTCAGATGCACTGCAAGAGCTTTCTTTATGAAGTATGTCGCTATTCATATGTCTGTATTTTCTTTATATCAGTCACAAAACATACAATCAAAAAAGACTCATGAAAGGATTGTGGAGAGTGAGATAAAAGGAATGTACACAGTTATTAGAAGTTAAGAGAAAAAACAATGAGGATCTTTCTATACCTAGTTTTGAAAATGTCATTTAAAAGGTGAAAATCATTTTTTTTACTACCTAGTATTACGAAGGGACTGATTTTTTTGACCTATCAAGAGAGGGTGATTCCAAAGATCGCAAAATGTCAACATCTACAGTAAAAGCCAGTAGGTCTCAAATTTGCATGCTAGCTAGTAACATCTGCCAGTTGTACAGAGTTTAATATATACTCAATTCTTTAGGGAGCTTCAACATCACTTAGCTGTAAAACACGTTTGACATTAAGATAAGTAAAAATAAATTATAAAGAAAATCTGCACTTCACATTTCTTACCTTCTGGTCAGCCATTTGCAGCACCAAATTAAGAGGCTGTTATTGTTCTCTGCCATTTTCTATCTCCCCTAAAAGTGCACGTAACTAGTTCACAGAGCTGCTAGGTAGCATACAATTACAAAAAAAGTCTGTGTTTCTGATACATTCAAGTTGCTAAATTTATGCGTTAAAATGAAAGATAAGATGCAGACGTGGTATCAGTTCTTTATCTTTGGTAAAATGTTTTCATTTTATTATAGCCGTATTTGCTCTGATATCCATGTTTGTGCATGGTCTGCTATTACTTTAGCCAACACGAAACATTTAATTGGATTTGGACAGGAACAGCGTATTATTTAGTACATTCATGACTTTCTTCACACATTCTTTGAGAATGTTGCTAGCACATGGGGAAAAAGAGCAAATGCCACTGTCTATAATGATTTACTCCTGGTTTAACATAATACACTTTTGCCGATTCTTGTCATTAGGAAAAAACGGTTTGTTTTTGTTTTTTAAAAGAAGGGATCAATATGGTTCTAAGAACAATAAATTCTAAAACTCTGAAGTAAAAATATCAAGTATTTTGTACTTTCTTACAAACGCTAAAATAGAAAATTAAACTGGAGCTGACTTAAAATTTGGTATTATGAACCATCTAAGCAAACAACAAAAATAGGACCACAGAGAACATCAACAACTCCTCCAAGGCTTTCCAGACACACTCAGCGTTAAGCAATCACGGTCTTTACTGACCTAAAAGTGAAGGCCTGACTCTCTCACCGTATACATCAGCATAAAAAGAAGAGGAGAACTAATTTTCAAGCAGTACTCTCCAGTGAATAAATCACATAGCAAAGTCACATTGGGTTCCTGGTGGTCTTAGTTATGCGCAAACATATTAATGATGCAAACTTGATCACGTGAACCTTAGTTATGCAATTATGCCTCCAAATACCTATCAATTACACTAAACCAATTTGGATAAGGGAAGGAGTTCACATATCCCTGCACTCGAAAAAGCCAGACAGTGCTGCATTTACGCAAAGAATGAGTAACATTACCACAACTCTTAAGTGGGGACCCTGCAACACTTCATTCCATCACAAAAACAACCTTTGCATATACTTCTTACGTATTCAACTAAATATTAATACTGGAAACCTTTGGAATCATGATTTTGATAGAGAGTAAGGTCTAAAATTTTTCTAAGTTCTTGTTTCAAGTCTTTCGGGTTTTTTGCTGTCTCTGTCATTTTACAAACAGAGCGGCCAGCAGGCAATGGCACTACGCTCCACGGCTAGAGGCTTGGGTGTGCTCTGCTAGCTTTACTCAGACAAGCCATCCTTAATCACGCCAGCAGTGATGCTGAACACAACAAAATAAAAATCGCAGGGGCAGGATTAAGCTGGTGGTGTCAATGTAGAAAAACACTTATATTGTGTCTATCCTCAAGTCTCAGTTCTTACTGTTCACGTCTTATTTGTAGAAATAAAACACGGCTAACAGTTAGAAATGGAAATTACACCATTTTGACCCATTTTTGACACAGTATTATTATTTTCAGTATCTCGGTATCATCAAGAACAAAACAAACGTACAGCTGCAATTCCTGTAGAAGCAAAGTCTGATATCGCAATGATTTTCAACGAGCATGGCACTTTCAAAAACTGTGAAACTTGTAAATTTAAATGAAGTTTAACTTTCAAACTCTCAATTAACTAACACCACTGTTTATAAGGGTATAATGAAAAACTGCCCCTGAAGAGCACAACAATTTATTTAAAAAAAAACTTTATTATCAGAAAGTGATAAAAAAGGAAGATGCAGAAATGGGGAGTGGAATAATACAGTTTTAATACATGTATCTGCACCAGTGAAATTCATGTTCTTAATGAGTCATTAAGATAGCTCTATCACCGATGACTTATGAGCTCTACCCATGTACAAATGTAGTAAGCCACTTCCCACTGCTGCAGTGCCCATGTATATGCAACACACACATTAAAAAGCAACAATCTTAGTGCCTAACTGTCCTAGATGCTGAGCACCCTCAGCTCCTGACAGGCCCCTCAGTCTAAAACAAAGCATAATCCTGACAAATAATTTAGTGGTCAAAGTCTTAGGAATTTAAAGAGCCTGTCACTTTTTTGCTTTCTTTGCTTTTTTCAGTATATCACACTTTTTTCTGTTAGGACGCCGGCATCTTTCATCAATGCTCGGTATACATTCATAATGCCACACTTCCTCCATTTTCTCTACGGGGTAAACTGCTTCCACATAATGACGGATCAGTCTCAGTCTGATGGGATCAAGCTGTTTTTTGTTACAAGCACCTGAATGGTTATATTGCAGTCTGAGATTCTCTGGAGTAAAGAGTTCTGGAAAGAGTCTTACTAGGAGCCTGGCAGCGAAGTTCCCAACTGAAAGGCTCTGCTGTACTATCTCTCTTACCTCCTTATCAGACAGCAAATACAGAGAAGGCACATGGAAGTCTGGATTAGGAACGACGAGTTCATCAAGTGGTATCTTGCAAAAATCCTTGCTGCTTCTTTCGGGGGGCAGTGGTGGCCCTTCAAACTCCTCTCTGAATCTTTCTGGGTTTATTGCATAGCTAAGAAATTCTCTCCGCTCAGGCCCTGGCACATGGACTTTCCGTTGCTGTTGGTACGTGCGTCTTTGTTCAGTGTCTCTTCGCCGACACCTCTCGTCAAGTTTCCCAACAAATTCCAACGTCCACACTCTGTCGTTCTTCGCTCTTGGGTACAGTATCTGCACGTAATGTCGAATTAATTTAATTCTAGTGGGATCAAGCTGTTTCTTGCCTAAAGATCCACTACAGTTGTATTGCTTCCGTAAGTTTTCATGAGTAAACAGTTCAGGGAACAGGAGAACAAGCAATCGAGAGGCAAAGTTGCCTATGGAAAGACTGCTTTCATATATGTTTTTAATCTGTTCTTTGTTCAACAGGTAATCTGGGACAGGAACGTCAAAATCTGGAGGGGGAAAGTCAAGTTTGTCAAAGTCTATGGGTACAAGCCAGATTTTTTTTGAGCGTCTACCAGGTTTTTCGTATTCAAAACTGTCTTCCACTTTTATGATTGATACATCATCTGGTAAGCTAGAGGAATCGTAACAGTCATCTCTCATCTGATCACATTCACTTCCATCCATATACATATTTTCAAGCTCATCGTTTATTCGCTGGACACATTGCTGCAACCAGGCTTCTTCTTCTTGCACATCTGGAAAGTAAATTTCAGTGTACCTACGGATTATCTGAAGCCGATGAGGATCCAGAAGTTGCTTACCAGAGTCCCCATAGCAGCTGTACCTTTCGGCTAATTTTCTGTGGTCGAAGAGCTCTGGAAACAATCTGTGTAACAGAAAAACAGAAAATTCCCCAGGAGAAGAAGCTTCATCTAAAAATTCATTGAGATCCTGAGCATCCAAAACATAATCTGAGGCAATGGCACTACTCCTGTCCAAGGACAAAGCTTCTTCCTGTTCTTTATCCTCAATAAAATGAGAGGATTCTACCTGTTCAGTGTCATAAAAACTGGATGACTGCACATTCTGTTGACTATTTTCCATTTCCCTTTGGGCCCAAAATCTATTGAAAAAATCATTGACTTGAGGCAAACACTCTACCTGCCACACAGCTGTGTTCTTCACAGAAGGGTAACAAACTTCCACATAGTTACGGATAAGCTGCAGATGAAGAGACTCAAGTTTCCTTTTGTTGAGAAAGCCGCACGCGCTGCAGTTTCTGTTGAACTCATCATCGTTGAAGAGCTCTGGGAAGAGCTGCACCAGTAACCGGCAGGCTAAGTCTCCACCTGACGTGCTTTGATCCATGATTTGTTTGAGCTCTGCAGAAGTCAGCTGGTACTCAGGAGGAGGCTTGAACTCCGCAACAGACTCTGTTGGACTGACTTGCTTCTTAATTCTGCTAACCTCCAGAGACAACAGGTCAACTTTGCTGTGAAGCTGAGTCATATTGGAATTGAGGGTGTTAAGCGTGTAAAACATTTTCTGTATCAAAGAATATATATTTGGATCAGAATCTGCAGTGGCAGCTGTTACAGCAATGGTTGCAGCAGAGTCCCTTTTGCGCTGATCATTCAAAGTCCGAAGATGCGAGGGACTGCTAGGATTGATTTTTTCAAACAAATCGTAAGAAGTAAACTGCTCTGCTCCTGGTGGGTTCTTCTTCTCTGTAATCTTGTGTGAGATGCCATAGAGAGGTTTTTTATAAGATGGAGTGGTTATGTCACTGAAAGGTTCTTCTTCACAGAGCCATGTTATATTAGGATTCTTGTTCTTGTTTGGCTGCTCTGTATTTACCTGAGTGGGTGAGCCAGTGTCTCTGTTCTTCATGTTTGAATGGGGGCCCTTTGAATGAATAAATACTGTATTAGTAAGACTGCCTTAATAATATTAGCTACAAATGTGTGCCTCTTAAGCAGGTATCATTACATAAATATGCACTGCTAAATTTTCTCCAGAGGACTTAATTATGTTACATATATTAAATTAATAAAAGCATTAGGGAAAAAAAAATCAATAAAAATTACAATAAAGTATTATTTAGGGTTTTTGTTTCATTTCATTGCTTTTTGTTTCGGTTCACGGCTTTCCCCATAGTACAGAAATGCAATTATAACCCTAAATACTTTTACCCTACAGAGCTCTAAGTACTTTCCCAAATTAAGTATCATTATCCTCCACCTTGCGTATGAGGATCTTGGGCTGCAGAGAACTTGAGTGGCAACAAGTCAGCAACAGAGCCAAGAATAGAATCTAGATTTTCTGACTCCTAGTCCTGTGACCTTGCCACTGCTTCCACCAACTGCATTGAATGTTTCAGCAATCTCTTTAGGTTAGCTTTTGAAAACACTACCAAGGCTACCAGACACCAACATTATGCTTATTCTCTTCTTTCTGATGTGAAAGGTTTATGTAGTTATACAATGTTGTACAATTCCTGAACAGGTTTCTGAGAATGAGTGAAATCAATAGATTATTCCATTCAAACAATAAAAACCTAAAAGCAAAGTACCTTGACATTGTCTTTTTAAAAAGGAGAGCCTAAGATTTCCTTATTTCTGAAAGGCAAGGAAATTTAGAGTCACTGGATTTCTCATTTTCTAAACGGTTTCCATAAAAACCAGCACTATGCTCTTAAGAAACTCATATTCTCAATCATTTTCTAACTCTTCCTCATTGTTTGAAATCTGAAACAAGCATTTTATCAACTCACAGTAAATATTTAGGGTTTGGAATTTTTTTTTTTTTTTTGCAAACACATGGATATTGTAAATAATTCTTAGGAAGTTAAGTAGATACCACAAAATCAAAATCCAACATACAGAATTCAAACATGAGAAAACATTCACAGATTTTTGAGACCATACTGAAACATTTATCTTGGCTTGTTCCACACAACATTAATTAGATTAAGAAAAAAATACAGGATTTGCACTCAAGTACTAAAACAAATAAAACACAGACTGAAGGTCTCAGCACAGAGGCGTAAGCAATTTGAAATTCCAGTGAAGACCCCAATACATCCTCCAAATGAGGAACTTCCTGAAAGGCTCCTTTCAGAAGGTTCCTCTCTGAAAAACAAAACCGTAACACATGAAATTAATCTCGTCCCTTTATGTAGTCAACTACACTTGGCATCCGCTTACCCCAGTGACAAATTGAGTCTAAGTGCTTTTCAATTCCTAAAGCAATACAGATCCAAAAGAGACTGAAACAGCAGAAGCTGGATTCTACTCCAAGTTTAGGGATCAACACGCTCAATTAAATTGAAGCTGCGTTTCCGAGTTTTGCTCTCATTCACATCAGTACAACCCCACATATGAAAACCTGTGTGCTACGCTCAAAGCTGTGTGGATGGACAGACGATAAATGAGCACAATGCAAAGGCAACATAGCTCACAGAGCCTGCAGAATCCTTACTAACAGTGGTGCTTAAGATACTCGAGGTTCAGGTCCCATTTAGGAGGTGGTCTCTCCAGTCGCGCTCACATTAACGCCCAATTGATACAACAACAGCGAGAAATCTGAATTCTGGACCACCACCAACTATTACAGAGTGACCCTTACCACAGCAAGCGCTACGATATACCCTAACTAAATCACCTGTTCGTGACTTGTAAAATACCGAAAGACAAGGGACTGAACTGTAAACAGACCGTGATCCTAATTTCTCGCACTTAATTGTAGGCTCCTACGCTGGAACTGCAGTTGCCGCAGACCATCTATATCTCTCAGTGAAAAATGAGAGGTACATCCAGGTGAAAATTTAGCTTTCCCAAATAGTCATCATCTGACAGCAGATCATGACAATCTCCACTGCCAATCAGGAAAGGAATATCGGTATGTTTTCAGTTCATTCCTTATTAAGTAGCTTGCTATAGGTCACCTTAGTCCTCTTCAGGCTTTGTCAAAATTTTTTTGCTATTTAATTATATAACAAAACATGGCAATTTGAGGGTAACTTCTATTAATGCACAGCTCAGACAAACGACGAGGACAAAGTAATATTAGAATGTGCATTAATCAGCATGAATTCATCATCTTAAGCAGGCTATTGCACTTTAAAAGTGAATATTCTGGAAGTTTACGTTCTCAGATTTGGATGTGGCTCTCTGAAAGAAAGTAAGTGCTTAGGCTAAGAATTACGACAAACCCCTGCTGCAAGGGCAGCAACACTTCTGCCCCTTTAATAATGCAGTTCACAATGTTTGCATCTCGTTGTAGGAGGGATCTGGGTATCTGCATTTCAGAAACACATACTAAATGTTCGACTAACAGATGATAACACATCTGGGCCTATATTTAAGCATTTTCTATTTCAGAAGCATTCTCCTTTTCTTTCCCTTTTGCTTCTAATCATCTTGTCACTGTACAGTTTCCAGCTGGGAACAGCACTATCCACAGCATAAATAAAAGGCTTTTGAGAAATCCTAAGATGAAACTGTATTTAAATTTTGTCATTCGTTTTCAGTAACTTGTAAAGACATTGTCTTTACACAAAGATATATTTCAGATAATATCATCTTAAATGGATGAGTCAGTCTTAACGTACCATCAAAAAATTAGGAGATTGTTGTATAAGACTCAACGTACGTAAGATAGTGCTGCTTTTTACATTACATTTTCACAGCAAGTTTTTATACTATACATATGTTTTTGAATATTTACAAAATGCAGTATTTGGTAAACATTGCCCAATATAATTCATTGTGAAATAATCTCTGACGTTATCTCTTCGAGTCCTAAGCCAAGTTTTAAAAAGTTGTTTAGTCATTGCTCTGCTGTGTGTGAAAGTCCAGGTATGTTATGCGTTTTTAAATGTATTATAAAAAAACTCAAATATCTGTAAGAATGCAGAACATAATATTCTAGCATACAAATAAAGTAGAATAAATATATGAGCAAGAAACATTAAAAAGATTTCAGTCAAACATATGACAATTCAAGGGACTTTTGCATAAAAATTTTCAGAACTTACCATCTTCTAAATGGGAAAATGTTTTTAGAAATTCAGTGAAAAACGAATTTCTGGTTATTGCGTGACAATCAGAATGACAAAGAATTGTGAGATGTCTTCTGATAGGAAATCACTTTGCAATATAATCACCAGCCTAATAGCATAACCATACAATAAACGGTACAGCTGTGCTTATGGTATCCTACACAGACACCTGTGTGCAGTAAAAACATACTACAAGCACAACACTGGCAAAAATAATTTATATTATTGTCTGGTTGGTTATTTAAACATTATTTAAAGATGTTGATTCACTGGAGTCAGTCAAGAATGAATTTTCATCACTGTTATTAGTTCACCTTCTGATCTTATTATAAATCTAGGGTTACAACTAATTTCAAATAAATTTAAAAACGTATTGCAGGCAAACAGGAAAACCCTAAGGAATCACAGCTAAGGGAACAATAAATAGCTTTTCTAAGAATTTGAATAAAGGAAAACAATTATAAAAATAAAAAGGTAAAGGAAAAAAATAAAGAAGCAGGATTAAAAGGTTAAAGCCTACATACCACGTGCATTCAGGGATAAAAGCTAGAGCCCCCAGAAGTCAGAGACATGGAAGTCAAGAAAAACAAGTATGAAGAGCTATGGCTAGAAAGGAGAAATGAAATGCGCAAATACAACACGGAATAACTGGCTAGGCAGCAGAACAGCAGAAAAGGATATGTGCATTAGAGTAGGTCATAAACTAAATATAACTCACGAGGATGAAGTTATTCAAAAGAGGATGAATTTGAATCTAGGTTATTTTAATAAAGTGCTGAGCCCGAACAACAGGAGGTCATTATACTCTTCTACAGGGTGTTAGAAGGAGACGTCACTACTGAAGACTGGACTCTACCCTTTCAGGAGATGCAAAGAGAACAACGAAATATAAGGTTTATACCTCTCTACAGAGTGTTAGAAGAGATGTGACTATTGAAGACTGGACATTACCCTTTCAGGAATCTTAAAGAGAACAACAAAAATATAAGGTTCATGGCGACTCCTGCATAAAAGCTGAAGAAATGAAATTTTAGTCCAGAAAAGGAAGGCCTGAGGGTAGATAACATCACAGCACTTTAACCATATGCAGAAGATTGTTTTTTAAGAAAAGATGATCATTGCTTTCCCT